GGGGGAGGGTGACTAACGCTCTCGTAACATAGCTGGGTGTCCAAAAGACATGGACAAAATATTATTCATTTTCTTGTACACTGGCTGGTTTAGCGTTTCCATAATTCATTCCTCCTTCTAACCTTTTCCTAAACTGATAATTTGAAATAGTATATTATTCGCAGTCAATATTTCAACTGTGCATTGATTATAGTTAAAAAATAATTAAATTATTGACAGTTTTAAGTGCAATAAGGCAGAATCCACAAATCTAGGCTTATCGGCACTTTGAAGTATTACTGTATAGTACCCAACATAGCTCTTCCCGTATGCTATTATACTAGATTCCAAATGATAACACATGGCATCGACGAGAAATTTCATCATCGGCAATTTCAAAGGGCAACCATAAGTCATCTGTATGCATCTCTTGTCAATAGTTTTTGCTGTGACAGTTGCACATTTCTGAATGAAATTCACCAAAACACTTATAAATAAAGAATTGAGAGAAATTATTGTTTCATGAAAAGTAGACGTTTATTTTGTAGTTTTTATAAGCCTTAACAACTTCTTCTAACAGCATTTTAGGAATTGCGCGTTTTCCAATAGATTTGAATTAAGAAATTAATTACTTTTACCTTGTTAATGACATAAAGCAACATTTTGTAATTTTGTTATAGAAGGGAACCATTTATTTTTTCTGCCAACTATTGGAACAACATTCCCACAATTCGATTAGATGAACATAAATCAGATTAAAAGTGACGTCATGGGGTGTCCGATTCAGTCAACGTAATTGTGCCAATAGCTTTATATCAAAAACATCGGTTGTCGTGAAAAAAAATAGGAGAGCGCCCCCTGTTATGTATTTTAGCATAAAAGTGATGCCAAACCAGCATTCACAGCAAATTGCAGCAGCAATATGAGTCTCGGTAAGTACTAACAGTTTTTCGCCACAAATTCTCACTCATTCTTTCATAACCAACCGATTGTTTATATGTTTTGTTCATTTAGCATAGTATTACTGGCGTATCGTGCTATTGTTCACATATTGAATGAAAACAGCGTGTCACATATTATATCATGACTTGTCAATGTCCTATTTCCAATGTTTGACTATTATTATCCTCATAGGTTTTGATCACTGAATTGAAATTAGTTTCTACAACGAATAGTTACTGCGATTTACCGTGTTTTCGAATTACAGATTCACGCTTCAAGATGATGCTGTCTATTGTATCTCTCGTTATTATTGGATTATCATGGGTAATCACACCTGTTGGTAAGTTTGGTATCTTCCTCTTCCATGTTTACTATTACATGCAATAGACGTAGGATACATTAACGGGGAAATCAAGATGTGTGTATGTTTCTCTTATATTTCGCTAGCATAGTAACACCAAAAAGTGAGAAAATCTGACTAAGTATTGTTAACAGTGTAACACATGAAACGGTATATTACCGTGATGTTCATCAATATATGTATTTCAGAAATGAATGAAGTTACACCAGACGGGACGTACACAAGCTGCAAATGTCTGAAGTACGACATATTCTGCCAGAATGACAAATCTACATGGGAATGGGCAAAAAACCATTGCGAGAATGCCGGTGGTTGGCTAGCAACTATTGATAAGCAGTCCACCCACCAAGCTATTCGGCAGATCATCTATGCTGATTTAGATAATAAAACTTGCCATAATTATGGGTTCTGGATCGGCTATTATGATCCACGCCCGTTACCAAAACCGACGCGTCACAAGGCAAACCCCGATCTCTTCACATGGGTAAAAGTTGATGAGCCGTGTACGCAGTTTGTAAAATGGGAAACAGACGAACCAAACGACAATATCACTGAGCATCCCGACGGACAGAACTGCGTTCAATTATGGTAAGAACTGTAAGAAATTGATTTCTACATAACATGTCTTATTGTTAAATCAGGATTAGTTCAAAAAATGGCGAGCTAGTTTTTCATTGGGTTAATTTCCGATAAAACCACAAATCAATTTATGAACTAGATAAACTGTTTTAAACAATTTGAATTACAGGTATAGACCGACAAAACGTGGTAATTTTGATGATGAGTATTGCTATGAGAAGAAAGGATATGTGTGTATGTTTGAAGTCGGTAAGTAAATTAACTCGATCACTAGATTTAGGTGAATTACTGACGTTTATAATTAGTAATTATTCTCGGAATTGGCATCAATGCGTTCAGTGTTACAAATACCATGGTTACAAATACCATGTGGTCAATGCAGTGATGACGGAAGATAATGGAACACTATTTCAGAAGTAACAACACGTTTGCACCTGAGGTCAATTATTAAACACGGAATGTTGAATAAAATTATTAGGGATCGATACGTCAATTTCCACAAATATTCTATTATTGATGACTGCGTTTGACACAATGATGGCCGTTATCATTAGGTACACATGCATCATAACAAAGAACAATGTTTTCGCACACACATATGTGTACATTGTTATTTTGAGTAGTAGTGAATATGGTTTGAATAATACATTACTTTCATCTCTTGCAGATTGCCCATGTGCCAACCCATAAACCAAATATTCTGTAAGTGTAAGAAACGCATGATGCCGAATTCGTTAAATATTTGAACACGACTATGGACAGTACTCGGTTCTTTTTTTTTCTGTATTAGCATTAATGCAGTGAGAAAGTTTAGATCAGCAATAAACCATATATCATAAATAACCTTGATTGTATTTTTATTTATACCTGTTGCCACTTCAGTGAATTGTTTTTTGTTAAAATATTATTGTTGTTGCCAATGTTTCGTTGAATTATTATTGTTGATGTTGTT